ATGAACCTATTATCCACAGCAAACAAATAAACAGACTACAATAATCGGCGCTTTTGATCCGTTTGTTTTGCAATTTGTATTACAAGTGCACAAAAACATAATTAGAAAATATTGGACATAACATTGGAAACTAGATATCAAAATTAAAAAAATTAAATATAGTTTTCCAATTAATTCATTAAGAAAAATAATTGATAATGGGGATGGATTGAGCGATAAATAAACAAATATATGTATATTGTTTAATCCGTGTATATCAAATTATTCTTAATTAATTTATTTGAAAACTTGTTCGAAATGTTTGATGTATTAAAAAAAAATTATATAACTTTTAATACTTAAATTTCAATTTAACTTTGATTTAACAATTAAGTTGAATTATTCAATTTACAACTTACAGACTTTTTATTATTTTTTATTAAAATAAATGTATTATTAAATTAATTTGATAATGTATTATTATATATTAATTTAATAAATTTTTGCGTTTTTATCATTTCTTAATATAGATGGTTCTTTTTTACAAGTGTATATTTTTTACAGGTGTATATTTGAAAACTCTGCTATTTTATCAGAAACATTAAATAATAATAGAACTGCCTTCAACGGTTATTATCATTCTAATGTACATATAATTGTTGAAATAATATATCAATTAAACTAAATATATATGTATATATTTTCGAGATAATAATTTTATAATTACAATTTTATTATAGTAATATTCCACATGTTATAATTAACGGCAGTGATATTACGGTATAAAATAATATATGTATATATAAATTAATTGTAATTGCAAAATAAATAAAATAAATACATATATGGTACAAATAGTATTAAGTGCAGCTTATATCTTTGTAAAAACACGTATCGATTTTTCTTTCATTAATACTTGATAAATTCTTTTCACAGCAGAGATTGCAATGTTTGTTCGCAATTTTGCATTATCGAAATCTGATAAAATTTTTGTTAAAATTTTTATCAATTGCTATATATATAAAAAGAAATTTACATTCGATCCGAATCTTTCAATATTATTTTACCGACTAAATAGGAAGAAAGAGACTTATGAATCATGATGTTATTATCTCAAACGGACTTGCTATATACAAATCAGATTTGATTACATTAAGTCAGATTGATCATTCCTCACTTTATATTCAAGACTTAAAGCGGAAGATTGTAAACATTCAACAAAAAAGGTCTCCGTGTAATAAAATCAGTCACGATTAAAAAGTAGTTAAAAAGTAAATTTTGTTATCATAAGTGTATTCCTAAAATAAATAGCATTACCAATATTTCAATATTGTTTTCATTATAGAGAGAAGGTTTTAAAAATAATTAAAACCGATTCAATTAACCGATCTTTTATTTTCAGCGAATCGCTTTCTGTGTATGAATGAGAAAGGGTTTAAAAAGACACCACCCCTATAACAAAAGCCAGAAACGACAATGGTATCAAGAGAATTTACATTTTTTATGATCTTTTGGAACCTTAACAACTGCCGATGTCATGCATTATAGTGATAAAAAAATAAAATCCTATCATTATATCTTTTTTGTGCGTAATAAAATGACAACATACGTAAATATATTTTTAATGTTTTAAATAAAATGAAATAAAATAAAATAAATATTCAAATTTAACTGTAAATATCTTTAAACAAAATATACCGTTTAATATTAATATTACTTTCATAAAAGTAAGCTATTATACTATGTTGTTTACATCTCTTTACATCTGTTGGTAAAACATTATTTAATTAAAAAAATATTTGATCAAGCATCAAAAAAATGATTTAGCGAGCAGCTGTATTATTTATCGGCATAGCAACGATAAGCTGTATGGCTACATTACTAAATCACCCTTTTATCCGACTAAATCTCATCCCCGTAAATCATTTTTGGAAATTGAATCTGAATGAAATAATACTGGCGAGTCACGTGTTTGCAGATATTTAAAAAATCATCTCCAAAAAATATACACTTCACGATAACAAATATTACTCGTAGAAAGAAATTTCGAATTAATTTAGAATTGTTACTTTTCACGTTATAAATAATTAATATGATAAAGTGTGAATTCATGAATTAATTAATAATCAAAATTCTATCTTTACGCGCCCTTATGTATTATAAAATATCTGCAAAGTATCTTTTTTTTTTTTTTATTAAATTCAATGACACGTGATTCACTAAATTTACGCCGGTCTGAGAAAAAATCCGAACGAATGAAGAGAGAGCTTTATGAAATCAATAAGAACCCCGATAAGAGTTTTTGGATAAAGTACGGCTTAAACTCGGAGTTAAGATTAATTCGACGAGTAGCTGTAATGGTGAGGGACTTATTGATGGACTGTGGTTAAAGGCGGTTTAACTAATAAGAGCAAACATGCGTAACATGAAAGTCAAAGTTGCGAAGTAGCGAAGTTCTTTAGTAGTAAATGATGAAGGATAACATGTGAAAGTTTCTCACGATTAATAATAGTTGGAAAGACATGTAAAACAAGTATAACGTACTCGAGAGAAACAATTTTTTTTATTTTTATTCCTCTTTAAGAGGATGCTGACCATGTCTGTTTTACCGACTTTGAATTAAAAAGCTTTTCTTTTTATTGGCTATACTGATTGAAAAATCCTGCCTCATAATTAAAATACTGATAATAATAAACGGAGAGCGCTGTAATTTTGTATAAAAAAAACAGTAAAAATTAAAAAATTACTTTATTTATTTTTTTTTTAAATAAATTAAATTTATTCAAACAGTGCAATTTGCGTTGTAAATTATAACACAATATAATTATCACCGAAAAAATTCTATTCTTATCTTCAGTAGTGTCACTTACATTTATAATATCTTCCATTAAAATAGGCGTCAAAAGGATCCTTTTAATTTAAGAGAAAATTCTATAAAGAGATATTCTTTTAGATATTTTTAACAAGAATATATATTTAATGGGATATTTTTTTATCAGTGTATTATTTGAAATTATTAATCGTTTTTACAAAAGAAAATTTGTTATTTCTTTTATATATATTTAAATGTTATACATATAATTGAATATTTTTTTATATATTGACATAATTAAATACACATTTTTGCTTATTATACTATTATTTTTAAAATTAATTAAACTTATAAATTTATTATAAATTTAAATAATTTTATTTTATTAATTTATTTTAAATAATTATTAATTAAATTACTTTTAAAATATCCTGTTTTAAAATGCTTCCAAAAGGATTTTCTTATCTAAATAGGAGAAGATTTTAGATCTTTAAACCTGAAGTTTAGGTTGGTAAACCCAACCTTCCTTTGAAGATTAGTATCAGATATTCCTAAATTACTAATTCATTATATTTATTTATTACAAAACTAAAATTGCAAAAAGAAAGTTAAGAATATTAATTCATTAAGAATATTTATTATACATAAGAAAACTTTTAAAAAAATTTGCATGTCAAGGAAACAATTTGTTCGATGTCTTATTTCGAGAATACAAATTATTCAGTGTTTAGGTAAAAGATAAGCAAGCGTATCCGTTCGATAACTTCCAAAATTGTGTTACAATCAAAGCATTAAAATGCCATTTCTAGACCCAACTCCGGTTTAATGAATATATTATGGAAAAGATATGAATATGCTAAACGATTAATCGATAGGAGATTCGGCGATATAGAGAATGAAGGTGAAAGTGAGGGTGAATCACTCTGGATGTTTACTTGAACTACAAAATGTAGACTGTCAATGAAGATTATTCTTTCCGCGCCGCGCATCATTACACATTACATTACATTAAAACGAATATGTCGCGAGGACTAACGTAATACTCTGACAGAAATAAAAATGTATATGTATCGCAAGACAATGGAAAATTTATGCAGATGAAATGCGGGAACAATAACTGCCGGGACGTTAAATGTATCATACGGGAGTGCGTGATTGCGTGAATTGTAATACGTCGATTTTAGTCGACTTTATATCGACGAGATTGTTTACGACGTGAAATTTCGACAATTCCGATAGACATGTTTGCAATAACGCTGTATAACCCGCGCGCGGGTTAACAGGATTTGCAACATATATCGAAAGCATGCGCGTATATATTGGTGTATATGAAATCGCACGTACGTACATATATGCATATATTCCTTATAACATAAGAGGTGAGCGTTATGCGCGGAAACGTGATCTGTTGCAAAATAGATACTTTCAGGTTAAGGGCTTCCCAGAAATATATCGATTTAACGGCAACTTACGGAGAGAGAAGCGTCGAGTAACACCGCGCGAAGGAAAAGAAATGCTTTAAGGGGATTCTAAACATCCTTGAAAAGTCTGTTGTTTTTTCCTGTTTTATCGACAAAATGTGACGTTAGATAAACTATCAATTTTTTTATTGACTACACGGATTTTTTTTTACCTGGAGATCGATTGTCTATTTGTGTCGATTTTTCTCACTTTTTGCACATTTATTTCACGTGAAGAAATACACGCGATTGGCTATGAGCAAGATGAAAATACGATATCCCTAGATTCACGGGAGCACAAACCATAGTGAACATTTCGTAAAGCGTATATGCATGCATATATGTTTCAGTGATACCTTTATCTTTATAACCTCTGCAGTTTGAACGGTGTGAATAAGAATGAATGTTACAGAGAAACAAAAAGAAATTATGTTACATTTTATGAATAAACATTCGGATTTCGGTCGGGGGCGGATACATTTTTGAACATGCTTGAATAAAATTGACGCGGCGTGTTATGAGAATTGATCGATATAAAACAATACATTAATAAAAAAGTAGTGTTTAAAAATCTTTTATTATAAAGTTAAGAAATGTACTGTGATAATCTTAATTATTAATTTATTATAAGATTATGAAATGTACTAATTTTATGTGATACAATTTATGTGATAAATATATATATATATAAATATATATATATCCTATTCAAAATACCATCACACAATATTTCTTAATTTGTACTTCTGCTTGCATTATATTTATATCATTAAATGGTATCGGCACTTCTCCTTCTTCCTCCAAATATACTTCATTTAATGGAATTCTCCATTTATAAGCAATGTTATGTAAAACACAACATGCATTTACAATTAGAGCTGTAAAGAATAGATTTAAAAAATACCTTTTCTTATCTCAATTATGCACTATAATTATTTACATACCAGCAAATTCTGGTGTATAATGTAATGTCCTCTCTTTTAATACGTATTTTAATCGCGCTCTACTCTACATAACTATAATGCAGTAGGATATACGATACATTTAGACATTATTTGACACAATAATTCTTGTCGAATAATCTCACGTGAAATATTTCGTGTTTTCACTATAATAAAAATTAGCCAATCAAGTGAATGCTCACTTTTGTCATTTTCACTAGGTTTTGAGATACACAATCGACCCCCTGAAATTAGATTAGTGCAAATTTGGCATTGGATAAAGGAATATAAATGAATGTTTAGCCTTATAGAAATTTATCACTAGTAACGCCAATTTGTCACTTATTTCGAGTACTTAAGTTACTGTATACCAGTATTTTAAGTATTCGAAATAAGTGATTAATTGGCGTTACTAGTGATAAATTTCTACAAGGGAGATATCAATTTGGAAGCCTAGTAAGCGAGAATAGCTTATCTTACATTTCTGTGCACACACATATGTGCACCGAAATGTAAGATGAGCTATTCTCGTTTACTAGGCTTCTAAATTGATATCTAAACATTCACGAATATTCCTTTATCCAACACCAAATCCACTCTGATCTTATTTTGTACGTACAAAGTGCCAATAAAAAGAATAATCTATCTAAAAAGAAATAATTGCTCGGTCGATAAAATAGCAGCAGCATCTGTTTAGCATCCCCAACTACACGAATTGTTTTTTACCTGAAATTAGACCAGGGTGAATTTGGCATTGGATAAAGGAATATAAGTGAATGTTTAGATATCAATTTGAAAACCTAGTAAACGAGAATAGCTCATTTTACATTTGCGCACACACATATGTACGAAAATGTAAGATGAGCTATTCTTGTTTATTAGGCTTCCAAATGGATATCTAAACATTCACTGATATTCCTTTATCCAACATCAAATCCATCCTGGTCTTATTTTGTACATACAAAGTGCCAATAAAAAGAATAATCTATCTAAAAGAAATAATCGCTCGGTCGATAAAATAGCAGCAGCATCTGTTTAGCATCCCCAACTACACGAATTGTTTTTTACCTGAAATTAGACCAGGGTGAATTTGGCATTGGATAAAGGAATATAAGTGAATGTTTAGATATCAATTTGAAAACCTAGTAAACGAGAATAGCTCATTTTACATTTGCGCACACACATATGTACGAAAATGTAAGATGGGCTATTCTCGTTTATTAGGCTTCCAAATGGATATCTAAACATTCACTTATATTCCTTTATCCAACATCAAATCCATCCTGGTCTTATTTTGTACATACAAAGTGCCAATAAAAAGAATAATCTATCTAAAAAGAAATAATCGCTCGGTCGATAAAATAGCAGCAGCATCTGTTTAGCATCCCCAACTACACGAATTGTTTTTTACCTGAAATTAGACCAGGGTGAATTTGGCATTGGATAAAGGAATATAAGTGAATGTTTAGATATCAATTTGAAAACCTAGTAAACGAGAATAGCTCATTTTACATTTGCGCACACACATATGTACGAAAATGTAAGATGAGCTATTCTCGTTTATTAGGCTTCCAAATGGATATCTAAACATTCACTTATATTCCTTTATCCAACATCAAATCCATCCTGGTCTTATTTTGTACATACAAAGTGCCAATAAAAAGAATAATCTATCTAAAAAGAAATAATCGCTCGGTCGATAAAACAGCAGCAGCATCTGTTTAGGATTCTCTTGAGAGGGACAACTTTACGAAGAGCAAAAGTTTAGTTTCCTTTTTTCTGATAACTTCCGAAGAGCGACGAGGAAACAATAATATCAATCATATTCGCGCGAAGAACGCGCCGCCGTTTTATGAGAAATATTGTTGCGGCGGAAAAATGATTAAAATACAGCTGAAGAATATAATCAACATTTAAATTTTCTCGCGTTGGAAGTCGCATGATTATTCAATTATCTGCATTGTACAGTTTTCTTCACACTTGAAATATTCCATGTACATTATTCTGTATACATTATTAAAACGCTGAGAAAATACATGTATACGGATAGAGGAATAATATGGGTATATAAAAATATTATTTATATATTGATACATATAATATGTATATACAACACCATTTATCTTTCTCTTAAAACAGCAGTTAATCAAAGTTTCAACAAGCTTGACATATCTGTCAGATATAATTTATCGATAAGCGACTATACAGCCAGAAATGAAGCGTCCAGCTACGAAAATCGCGAAAAGTTCACAAGTCAATATTTTTCCAGGGGATTTTCTCCCTCGCGAAATCGCGTAAATTGTTGAAGGCGATTTTCGTCAAGACGAGACGACCGTGACCGGGTTATTTTTATCCCTGCGGGTCACTGTTTGCCCAACCGACGGCTTGCAATTCCGCTGAACCCTGAACAATGTTAGCTCGGGGCTAAGCAATCGGGAATGGATGCAAGGAAATTAGACGACTGGATGAAAAAGGAGATAAAAGGATTCGATGATACATAGTTGAAAAATTTGTGTTAAATTTGACAGATATTACATGTCACATAAATTTTTGTGTTAATTTAACACAATATGGATATGTTAAGTGAAGACACTGTGAAAATTCTGTGTTATAATTTTAACACAAAATAAATGCAAAACTTCAAATAATTTACAAAAACCATTACAAAATGACTATTATTTTTTCGTATTCAGAAATCTAAATAAAATTTTATACATATATTAAGTATATACTATGTTAAAATTTTTACACAAAATAAATGCAAAACTTCAAATAATTTACAAAAACCATTACAAAATGACCTTTATTTTTTCGTATTCAGAAATCTAAATAAAATTTTATACATATATTACGTATATATATATATATATATGCATTTTTATAATATATATAATATATATAATATATTTTATATATGTGTATATATGTATAATCGTGCGTGAGTGCGTATGCGTAATATAAAAAATATAATATAAAAAATAAAATTTTTTTTTGATGATGCTTTGTCAAATATTGTTTTAATCGTTCGAAAGTTTTATTAGTAAAGATATTAGGTTTCATTTCTGTTTGTTTTTAGATTGAAAAATTATTTTTTATCATGCAACATTGAATTATACACTGAAAATGCACATTTCAAGAGACACCTTAATATTTATTCGGGAAATTCAAGAATTGATAAAGACCATTAAATAAATAATTATTTTCAATCTGAAAACAAACAAAAGAATTAATATGTAAAATATGTAAAACAAATATAAAGAAAGTGTACAACATTTTTAAAGCTATATTAAGACACTTAAAACTTGTATGTGTATAGAGACACTTTAAAAAAGTTTATGATATTAATATAGAAGAAAAAAAAAATTTCAATTATATAAAACATTATTTTAAGTTTAATAACGTTAATTTTCAAAAACAATGCTAATTTTGTAAAAATATGTTTAATGATATATACTTTTGTAATAATATAAACTTATTTTAAGTGTCCCAATATAGCTTTAGAAATTTTAAACACTTTGTATGAGTCTCAAATTTTCTCTCTGACAAACGAGAATTTTCTTAAATATGACACATAAATTATTTTAAAAACTCCTAATTCAAAAATACCAAATCTTCAAATGTAATAAAATAAATATTATACAAGATAAGACATTTTATATTTTTCCCTTTTCCAACATTGTATCAATTGTTCTCTGTTTTAATAATATATAGGATGAAAAATTACATTAATAATTAAGTAGAAATTTAGTTATATTTAATTAAATATAATATATTTGTCGTGATAATATTAAATTGTTTTATTTTATTTTTAATTTCTTTTCTTATATTATTGTAATATAAAATCGAAGAATAAAGAAATGGAAAATAATAAATAAAATTAATTAATTTTCTTTAATTATTGTAATAGATTATTATAATAATCGGATTTAATTGTATTTAATATCAGCAAATATAAAAAAATAAAAAAATATACTTTGATAACATACACAAAAACAACAAAGAAATTATTTTATTTAGATAATTAACTTTAAACCTATATACAGGGTGGCCCAGAGCTGGCGGAAAAGTTTTTAATGACAGATTCCTGGTATCATTTGGATATAATTTTTCTTTAGTGAGAATGTTGAGAGAGATCATCATATTTAGCATGTTCCTAATTTTTGTTATTTTGTATTTTTATAACTAGACCTTATATTAAAATTCTTTCAATGCAAACACAATGTAAAATAAACTAAAGAATGTAGTTCGGTTAATATTATATTTCTACAAAGATTTGTATCCAAAAAAGCCATTATTTTCAACTGCTTATAATTCGAAAATTATTGGTGTCTCGACATTTTCCCTGAAGAAAAATCATCTCCGAATAATATCAGAAATTTGCCATTAAAATTTTCTCGCCAGTTCTAAGACACTCTGTATATATGTACATGATTTATGCTTAGCGTTTTTATAAACGCAAATTAAAAACATATTTTTGTTTCCTCCTAAAAATGTTATTGTGAATACATGATAAAAACAGCAAACTCGAGAAAAATTTAAACAGATTTAAGCCGTGTATGTTTGTCATTTCAACAAAAACATACATCTGTTCAAGATCATATTTCTTACATTTAATTAGAATCTCTTCTCGCGCGATCTAAAACACATCTCTCCGTAACACACGATTCGCGACAGTAAAGAATATAACATATATCGACAATGGCAGAACGACACTGGATAATGGAACATGTCACACCGATAAACGTGCGTGTACAATGCAATTATTGTATAATGGCACAGCGATTGCTTAACGACATTACCATATTAAGGCAACACATATTAAGAAACCATGGAGAATATTGGCTAGAAAATATAAGAAGATTCATACTGGATCGTCTGGCGGCCGGAGCCTTCTACATAACACAAAATGGGATATGGAACTGTAGCATGTGTACTCAACAATATCATTTAGCTAGACCTGCTTTGACGAACCTAATAGAACATTTAATATATCGACATATGCCCATTCAAAACAATCCAGGTCTCCACGCATGGATTGACACCAAATATCAACAGTTTATTACAAGCAATGGAGTAATTGTGTTACAATGCGTAAGGGAAAATTGCGGCAAAATATATTCCATAAGGACATTACCACAAAAATTATTCAAACACTTGGTCATTCACCATCGGCTTGTTCCTTAACAGAAATAATTTTAACTAAATTTACTATAATTTATGTGGATTATAAATATAATATCTTATA